AAAACCACCACAAAGAGACAGAAAACCACCACAAGCGTTCCGGTTTGGACTGTTCTGAATGATGTTTGACTGTTTCGGAGCTGTGTGTGATTCTGACGTGGTGTCGATGTTCTCAGCTGTTCACAGGACAGAAGAAGCAGCCGGTCATCGTGCCGATGTACGCCGCCGGCCTGGTGAGTCCACCTTCAGCCTCAGTAATACCGGTACTGGTTGGTCCGGGGCCCATCTTGTTTTGTGATAGCCAGTGAATGTGGAGAACCTCGGTGCTGGTAGTTTCTAATAAAGCGTGTGCTGAATAAACCGGGCTTCAAACGGCTCAGAACAGGATGACGCTGTCGCAGAGCAGGTGAAGGTGGACGGTGGAACCAGCACCGACTGGCGCTGAGTCATGGACGGGGCCTCTGTAGCGCCTCCTGCTGGCTCACAGGAAGCTGTGTTTGTGTTTCAGGGGATGCTGGAACCAACCAAAGAGCCGGTGAAGCCCGTCTCCGCCGCAGAGATGATCGCCTCCATCGGACAGACGCCTCCAGCGGCTCCAGAGAAAGCCTCCAGTTCCTCCGACTCAGTGCAGGTGAAGCAGCCCGGACCGAGCACGGTTCGGTCCGATTGTGTCTGATGTTGTTGTGTGAGACCCGCCTCATCGCTGTAAGTCAGCAGGACCACGTGGAACAGCGTAGAAAGTAGATTCCCTCCCAGACTGGGGACGGCTTCCAGGACGTGTACATGCTGCAGGTCGTCTTCAGTCAACATGTCAGAGGAGCTGAACTGTGGAAACCTGCTGGCTGTAGATGTGGCTGTGAACAGCAGGGGGCGCTGTGTCTGACCAGGTGTGTGTCTCCTCCAGCAGGAGGCGCTCCCACCCGTCCAGTTCGACTGGAGCAGCAGTGGCCTTACCAACCCTTTGGACGGTAGGTGACCCGGTCCGCTTCAGTCCTTCCAGGCAGCAGGGATCCTCCACCGACTCACCGCTGACTTCTGAGCTTCTGACCCAGTTAGAAAAAGTTCCTGTTTCATTTCCAGGCTCAGAATCTCCAGAAATAAAACTCCAACAGCCATGAAATGTGGAGACTCAGACAGAACAGTTCCATCAGAACCACTGACCGGATCCATCAGGACTCAGTTTAGTTACTGATCCAGAAAGTTCCTGTCAGTGTCTGTCTATGGATGGGTCCATGGTTCTACTAGAATCCAGCCTTTACTGTGGCTGTAACATCAGCAGAACCTGATGTGGTGAAGCTTGTTGTGAAGTCAGGTTTTACATATTTGGACCAGCTGCCGACAGCAGCCTGTTGGGTCGGTTCAGAGGTTTTGTGGTTTGGGCCTCGGCGTGGTGTCCCCAGAGGCAGAGCTGTGGTCGGTGGAGGACGGCTGCTGTGCATGAAGCCGCTGTAGATGAGTCTAACTCTGGTACTGACTGCTGCATGCTCTCTCTCTGCTGGGAACCTCGGCTCTGCAGCCAGCGGAGGCTCGTCCCTCTTAAACCTCGACTTCTTTGGTCCTGTGGAGGATTCAGGCTCCAGCAGCTCCACCTCCATCCCAGGTCAGCCTCCTGATTGGCCCATCGACGGGCCCGTCGGTGGGCCTCCTGACCGGCCCGGCGATGGGCCCGTCGATCGGCCCGCTGTCCTTCTCTGTCGCCTCCGTCTGTCGCTAACAAACTGCAGAGATGGATGGTCTAACTGTGGCACTAACCTCCAGCTGCTCTGATCATCCCTTCATCATTTCACTAGTTCTGTAACACGTCGACCTTCTGTGGTTTCAGCTCCTTCACTGAATGTTTTCTGGTTTCTTTCCTCTGAGACACTAAACTGAACATCTCTGGACCGAACCAGACATCTGAGGAGGCTCTGACATCAACACCGCTCCACTCGTGTTGGACGGGCCTCTGACTTGATTCTGGTTGTTTTAGACTCACTGAGTAGTTTGGACACATTATAGGAGAACTGATGTTGTTGTTGTGGACAAAATGCGACATTTTCCATCTCTGGAAAACCCTGATCCACATGGTTCACCGTTCCACATTGTAGAGACCAAACAACTGATGGGTTCACCCAGAGTGGGCGTGGCCACCAGCTGCAGCTCCAGTCATTGGTCAGAACTCTGTTGAAACAGTCGAACTGCTGCGTCTCAGACGTCCTCGAGGTTTGACCTCGTGAGAAGAATCTAAACGGACGTAACACAGAGAGGAGCTGCAGGTCTTCTGGTTAGAGAGAAATATTCAGCGTTTCTTCTCTGTCACTGCTTAGATTTTAAATGTAGGATTTTAAAGATTGAAGTCTGTGAACAGGCTTCAGCCTCATCCAGCATTCACCATCTTCTGGCATTAACACCAGACTGCTCACTGTGGCCATTATCCTGAGTTGATTTGCATGTTCTAGTCATTGTAGACGATGACTGATTTCATTTTGAACGAGGCATTTGGACAAACAGCCCATTGTGAGACCAAACAGCTGGTGGCTCCATCCAGACTTCAGTCAGATGAGTCGTCACCAGCGCCTTCACTAACACATGTTCTGTCCGCTGACGTCGGTTCTCCTGCTTCCAGGTGTGGATCCTGAGCTCTATGAACTGACCACCTCCAAACTGGACCCCGGCAGCTCGGGCAGCCGGGTGGCCGACGCCTTCGCCCGCCTGATGTCCACCATGGAGAAGACCAGCACTTCCACCAGGTGAGGCTTCAGATGCATCATCACACCTTCATCGGTCATCAGCAGCAGAGCCAAAGGCGGGCCATAAACATGAGGCTCGTGGACCGAAGCAGGGACAGGCCCATGTGGTTCTTTAGGCCCGATTATCGATAATCAAGAAGGCTGATAATCGATATGTGGAACCGATGCACATTAAAGCTTATTGACTGACAGCATGTGAGACCCGTAGCGAGATGGCTTCACTAATAAGGATGACCGCTGCTGAATACGTGCAACAGGAGTGACCACGTCGGAGCGTCAGTGGTTTCTGCTGCCTTCCTTCAGACAGCTGCTAATGTGCTCATCTGTCTCTCTGTGTAAACAACACGTGATTGGCTGTTTCGCATCGTGTGTCACAGCCAATCAGATGTTGCTGTGGGCGGGACTTGGCCACAGAGCGACTGCAGGGTTAGGGTTGGGCTGATCAGAGCTGAAGGAGACCTTTTCATTTATTGAGCCATAATCGGCCAATAAAAACGATGATACCAAGAATCTAAGAACGACGAATATTGGCTGGAAAATGATGGATTTTTAAAAATGGACAAAACAACCACATTCACTGGAAACAGTATTTCTGTTCAGTAGTTTTAGAGTTTTTCAATCTTAGTACCTGTTCCTCTGGTCGCTGATGGAAAGAACAAGGGGGCGGAGCTACCAGCTGCTGGCTCCGCCTCCAAACGCTCCGACGGTAACTTGAGAGGCGAGTGATGATCTGGTGGAGCAGAAACGCTGCTGGAGGAGGTTCTTCTGTCGGCTCCGACTGACAACAGTGGAAACGTGATCAGTGATTTAACATGTGATCAGTTATCAAACATGATCAATAATTAAACGTGATCAATACCTGGTTCTGTCCTGCAGGAGGCCGCGGAAAGACGAGAATCTGAGCGAGGAGGCGTCCAAAGTGATCGCGGCGCTGCCGGATCTGTCCTTCATGCAGGCCAAGGTTCTGATGTTTCCCGCCACGCTGACGCCGCTCGGCTGCCAGGCAACGCCGGACTGAAGCCCCGCCCACGCTGTCCGCCTGGCCCCGCCCATTTTACCTTTTCTGTCTCGCTGCTCCTCCTTCTCCTTTCGCACATCAGTTTTAAAAATCAGCTTTTCAGTTTTTATGATTTTTGGACACGAGGCGTCGAGCAGCTCGGTTCCAGATCAGTGAT